TAAACTAATTTGCACTCCCATCATACACAGACCCTGGAGCTATCGCTGGCGTAGAACCAGCGATAGCTCCAGGAAGCGTGATGGCATGAGAGAGCGCTGCAGAGATGTGGGTGAATGAAGAAGGATGACCTCAGTGCAGCCTGGGTCTTTGACAAGAGGCTGATTATCACGCTGAGCTGGTGACGCTGTCACTGAGGCCTGGGCAGGAAGGCAGGGACGCAGTACAGTCAGCAGATCTCTACACACTCAGGCCAGAGGAAAGTCAAATCACAGAGCTGCATTCCATTTGCTTTAAATACTTCACCCCCAAAATACCCTTTCGAACACACTGAGTTTGCCCATTTAGTTTAATCTCTCAGTCCAATCTAGGAAATGAGTTTGGAAGAAGGAGCATGTTTGTTTGGAATTTGGACTAGTCTGCAAAATGGCTTGAGGGACAAGTAGCAGATGCCAAGACGCTCAACAGAATGATTACGAAGGTCTTTTTGTCCCCCAGCTATAAAACCTTTGAATGATATTGAAATATTCAGTGGAATCTCATACCTTCTCATCATATTGCTGCTTGGGCTGATGCCCCTCTTGCGTAGTATCTTAACGCATAAAGTTTGTGCGTGTTTAACGTGGTAACAAGTGTTTAAAGTTGTTAAACAGTCGCAGTTAGTTTTGGGCAAAAAAAACGACATGGTTAAGGTTAAAAAATGATCTCGATTTACGTTAAAATAACTACTTTTGTTAAGCTAGTCTGTAGCTTACATACACTTGCTATGGTTCTGCTGCTCCATCCATGACGGTTATTCCTGTGGCTCTTAAATTCTGTTCCACCTCACCTCACCAAGTTAACCAACCTTATTTTACAGCTTCCCGTATTTTAAAATAACTTATTTCTCTGAATGGTACATTTCAGCGAGTCCCTTTGAAGTGAGTACAGTTAAAACAAGTTATGCAAATGATGCTCTGTGCCTCACACATCAGAGAGCCCTGCTGTAAAATCACACACTTGCACACACACACACCCTTTCCCGCCTTTGTGCTACATTTTGTTAGGAGGGATGGCGCTGAAACTGCACCAGAGAGACAACGGCCTTTGAAGTCTTCCTGACCCGTGGCATGTCATCCCCTCTTTCTGACATCCCACCTCTCCCCCCTCTCACCCTGACTGCACAGAGCCCCAACTTCTCTTCCCATAGATATAATTGCATTATGAGTTATTACCCATGCTTGTGTAGTCAGAAAGATTCAGTGGCTTGTAAACAGCGCTGTGGTTTGGGAGTTGTGTCCAACGTAGCATAAGAGAGTCAGGATTTGCATAGATTTACCCTCAGTAATTCCTTATTAAAAACTCTAAATGTCATCATTCTGAAACACTCTCTCCGATAGAAAACAGCTGAGCCACGGCGCCTCAAAGATTAAAGGATAGGGATCCTCCTCGGAGAGAACGCTGACTGCATGGAGAAACAAGGGGCAAGTCAACCCGTTCCTGAAGCAGCAGGCGAGTGTGTGTAGAGCCGGATAAAGGGGGAGAGTGTTTGAACTGACCCTGCTGTGAGTGCCCGCTGCAGCGGATACACCGAGCTGCAGTTCAAAGCTGAACAAAATATCAACGGGGAGTAGAACTTTATGAACACAGATTGAGTGTCTAAAAACTGTTGCTGCTGCTTATGACAGTTATTTTTAGAAATGTCAACAGTGTCGCAGTTTTTCAATCCAATGTAGGATCCACAACTGTTTGAGGTAACGTAGAGGATCGTTCTGTTCTGACATATAATCTGATCATAAACAACTTTAAGAGCACTCGGCCAAGGCTTTTTCCATTAGTGAAAAATAATGCATGTATCTTTTTTCAATTTAAGCCAAAGCATTGGGCGTTCTTTTTTAGTAACAGTACAATATGCACATTTTCACTTGAACTATAATTTATTTTAAAGTATGCAGGCTGCAACATTTTTACATCCCCTTTTAATGCAGTTCGATTTTTGTGCTTTAATTCCCTATACTTTATCTGCTGACATGCATACCTATACCGACATATCTGAAATGACCTAATATTGACAGGCTCCTCCCTTTAATCCTCTCTAAGGTAGAGCTCTTTGGCTAATACAGCCACATGCATCGAGTACATCAGCAGTAATACTCTATTTATAATCCGTTGTCAGAGATTCACTAGCCAAAGATCACTAGCATCATCCTCACAGTAGATGTATGAAGCAAACTTGCTCAGTGGCGCATGAAGCCATAGACGTTCACCCTTTAGGTATTAAATGACCAAAACCCTTCCACATCTGTGGGAATATAGAGAAAGCGCAGTAGTGTTTCCTTTAACCCTATCTCTCAGCCGCATTGTTTTGGTCCATTCAAACGAAAGGCAGCACAGAAATAACTCTGGATTCAGATATAAGTTAGAACTTTTAGTACCTAATTATTAAATGAAGTTCGTTCTTGCAAGCTGCAATAAGAATTTACAGATCTCTTTCCCAGTGTAAGTCAATGGGAAAAAGTCTTATTCGGCCAAATAGCATCACAAGATGGGTCGGGAAGTTGTAATTTTTTGATGTGGCCACTAAAATAATTGTCTTTAAACCCCTGTGCTGTGTCTGGGGACCTGAGTCAGTATCAATCGGAGCTTTAAAAAAAAACTAAAACCTATATTGAGTAATAGTATCTTTGGTGCCCTATTATTATTGACATTTATGTTGTTAGTAGCCTTAATGTACAGAATAGTACACTCTAATTTGTAGGCTGCAACTTAAAATGTTACAAAACGTTTTGTCATACATTCTTTTCTTTCAGCACTGTCTTTTTTCTGACACACACCAACGCACACACACTCATGCAGGTGGACACATGACAACATTATCTCAGGGCCTCTTCTACGTTTTTAATGGGGGAGTGGTCCATTCCTCCTCCCCGCCTCCTCACACATACTGTAGATATGAACACACACTCCTATCCACACACACTCTTGCAGCTGCACAGCTGTGAGGGTGGGAGGGGCCCTTCCCTTCTGATGAGAGACAGAGGGGAGAGAGGGAGAGGGAGGCAGGGCCATTGTGATTGAGTACAGAGGGAATCTGACTGGACATAGACAAAGCTCTCTCCACCTTCACACACTGCGGGCAGCTCAGTGCCATGGCAGTGTGTGTGCAGTGAGTTCACACCTGTTTACATGCAGGCAGGATTGACCACCATGCAGGGCCGGGCCGGCAAAGCCCCCAAAAGGGAGATGGTGATAGAGTCTCCACAGCAGTACAGGAGCCTGGCTGAGATAGAGGCAGAGGTGGAGGCTGGGTCACAGGTGGTGGCGGTAAGTGTGCCATCTTTTACCTAGGAGTCAATCATATTTCAAATCCTCTTTCGTTCTAGTAGTTGTAAGTAGAACCCTTTGTTTAAAAAAAGTTTTTTATCTCTAAGATCCAGTCTCAAGAGCAGCTTTGAAGATTTTTTTAAAAGGGGGGAGACGGAAATGGGAAATAGCAGCTTCAGGGCACACCTCCCCAGGGGGTTAAATGTTGATATTTTTTTAGGAAATGGAGCACTTGTGGCTCTCTTTGTTCATTAATGTTTCCTGTGCTTCAGCGTCAGGCAAGTTGGCTGCAAAGTTGGTGAAAAGATAAAGAGGCAGGTTGACATACTTTTATTTAATTATCTCTTAAAGGTATAGACATTTCATAGTTGGACTAGCGTTAGTGAGACTATTGTTAACTGTAGAGATGCTTCTTTTTGCACAATTCCCTAAATTCAGATTATTTTTTATAATCAAATCAAGATTATTATTACAGAGTGATAGAGTATTATTACATTGAACGTATTTGAGCTTAAAAAGCCTAATAACAGCCTTTAAATCAAACTTGATGACACATCTGTGTCTTTAATATATTCATGCAAGATAATTACTGTCACAGTTCACAGCTGCTTGTTGTTATCTTCCGTCTGAATGGAAATGATCCAGTTGGAAATCAGGACCAACGATTTTCTGCTTATCAGATGATGTTGTGCATCCAAAGGGCTGAGAGATATGGAGGGATATTTTCATTACGTCATCATGGTTGGGGCGAATCAGGATGTAAATCTATGGTCAGACTGTTTAATTGGTCTCAGTTGGTTATGTGTTCATTGGATCCACACCAAGGGGCTAATCCAAATAATGTGGATCACATCCACGCCCAGCAGCCTCAGGAATGATTTAATGAATGTACAGTAAGGTGACAACCTTTGGTTACATTTGTCAAGTGGATTGTTTACTTCCAAATGTTCTGTTTTATACTGTCTTAGGGTTTAAAGCACAACAATGCAGCCTCACAGAGCAGTATTAGTAAGCTAATTTATATTTCTTGTTATGCAGACACAACCACACGTGTTAATCATATGTGAACAATGATTTTTTAATATCGCAGTCAGGCTTATTGAGGGAGGACATGCTGGAGGAATACCTCGGGTGTTTTCTCTGGAATGTTAGATCTGACGTCTGCAGTGCCGGGGGAGTTTAATCTTGGCTAGATCATGAACAATGCTCCTTAATCTTACCGCCATAATGTAGCATAAGGATTTACTATGGAATGAAGGATCTAACTTGGACTGTATATTTTCCTGCTGTGGGAACTGGTATGAGTTAATGCCTCAGAGAACAGATTTGTAGAGTTGCAATGACTACTTCTTACTTCTCCAGTTCAAGTATTGAACGTGAGCTCATGACACTGTGACTGGTACAATGGCACACACAGACTCTCACTCATGCATCCGTCCCTCGCTTCTCTCAACTAGCATCTCCTCTTCTGTTAACTCACATGCATGTGTGTCTCTGTGCCAACTCCTGCTGCAGCCAGTAACTCTGTTGAAAGACAATAGCAACTTGTTTTCCAGACAGTGTGAATACCCTGGATTTGTAACTCATCCCATGCAATGATACTCTTATTAACATTAGCATTGGTCAACAAATCCACAAGTATTTCCAAAGTCTACCTTGCCACATGTTGCTAATCCACTGCTGTAATCCTCTCTTATAGGTAAAGCCGAAGATCATTGAGCCCCTGGACTATGAGAATGTGATCCTGCAGAGGAAGACCCAGATCATCAGTGATGTCCTGCGGGACATGCTGCAGTTCCCCACAGACGACTTCCAGGTAAGACGAGGAGAGAATTATTTATTGAGCCCTGGAGGTACATTTTAGTTTAGCTTTTCCCTCTCACAGGTCAAACTCGGTGGCAGAGCAGTGACCTTTAAATGTGGTATTTATTAAGACTGTTGGCACTTATGCAGAAGTTTGAAATAGCTGGAGACAATTAGGCAACCCACAAGAAAGTTTTTAGATGGCTTTCTAGTTTTTTGTCCACATTTTTAACATAAAGTCAACACCTTGTGTGCTGTGATTAGTAATTACGAAGAGGTAGCAAAAGCAATTGCCAGCATATTCAGTTTTGTTGTTGTAATACTCACTTTGGCCACATGAGGCTGAAGTGCATCACTACCCCCTGTTGAGAAGTCACTCTTTTTACACTAGTCTCTCCTTCACGTTGTGTTCCCAGGAAGTAAACCGAATAAGAAGATAGAATGTGTGTCATGTGACTTGTTAGACCTTGAAGTTGTTTAAATTCCTCTTCACTGCACCTCACTTGTGTCTTTAAGGAAATCATCTCACGAGGATATGAGATAGTTATGACATTACTTGGTGAACCCGTGTGTTAAATCGGCTATACATTTTGGCTCTTGTAAACATTTACACGCTACATGGATCTGCTGTTCAACGGGGCTCAGAGACTGTGTCCACATTACATCACCGTAGTGCTGGGATGGATCTCAGCGGGGTCCACTCCCTGTTAGAGAGAGAATGAGAAAACAGGGACGGACCCACGCGGTAATCCTTGGTATTCCTCAAGTCTCCTGAAAAAATATTGCAACTAATCACACATATTCCTTGTTCAGAGCCAACTATATCTAACTCACAAGTATTGGGTGTGTATCAAAGCCTGTGGAAATAAGGCTATAGAGCTCATTGTCGCCTTAATGATATATATATATATATATGTTAAAAACAAAGCAAAAGAAATTGAGAGGTTTAGAGAAATAACAGAATATGTGGTGGGAAATCTACACAAACAGTCTGTTTCTAGACTATTTCACAATCAGTTCATGATGAGTGGTTTTCATTACAGGGCTGTCTGCAGAACACAGCCATTAGGAACTGCCCTGTGTGCGTGTGCGTGTGCGTGTGCGTGTGTGTGCGTGTGTGCGTGTGTGTGTGTGTGTGTGTGTGTGTGTGTGTGTGTGTGTGTGTGTGTGTGTGTGTGTGTCTGTGTGTCTGTGTGTGTGTCTGTGTGTGTGTGTGTGTGTGTGTGTGTGTGTGTGCGCGTGTGTGTGCGCGTGTGCTTGTGTATGGTCCGATCTAGTCCATCCATCTGTCTAACCTGCCATATGTTTTACATCAGTGGGCTCAGAAAGGAGTAGGGGGGGGGGGAGCCCGCCAGACATATGGGTCTTGCATCGATACACCCACCTAGATACACACACACCTAGATACACACACACCTAGATACACACACACCTAGATACACACACACCTAGATACACACTTACTGGGCATGCAGGAGAGAACCTCTATGTAGAAGGAGGTAAGTGTTGGGATGTGGTTCAACTTACCCTGCATAAGCATTCATGTACAGGAGATATTATATGTGTAACTAGAACGGTAAAGACACAAACGGCCTTCTGTAAATGACATTTATATATCATATATGTATAACTCTTCATCTTCTCTCTACCTCTTTCTTTTGCTCTCTTTCACTCTATTCAGTTTACATTTCATATTTAAAAAGTCAGTCCATATTTCATATGTACATAGGGCAATGTAGTAGCGTCAAAAAATGGATCCGTGGAGTAGAGTGGTCAAGCAATAATGACATTTCTCTACTGCACCAGGGTATTCCATTTATGGATCATGCACATATGTACAGATTAAAACTAGACACAGTCACTTTCATCTTTCAAAGTGGAAAGAGGACTTCAGAAGACTCACTCCTCTTGCCCGTCCCCAACCACTTTGCCCAGATATCCCTGCTAGAGATTTTAATTCCTGCCTGGCATCCCTCTATCAGCCCTGCAATGTCACTGCCTGTGGGAACATGCTCCTCTGGCCCAGTGGAAGCCATCAAAGCTCCGGTTTAATGACTGGGAAAGGAATGCTGTTAATTGGCAGCCAGCAGTTCTTGCTAACAGTTGATAGACTGGGCTGCGCTTTGGTCAAAGTCTCCCGTGAGTGACTGATCAAACATTCAGGCTGTGTGTGTTGAAGGGTTTGTTTTCAGTGCAATGGAACAAGTACAGGCTGGGAAATAGGCTGTGAAGCTCATGCGAGTGCAGCTAAAGTGTCTATGAAGTGTCAAACTGTGCTATACTGCAGTATGCTAATTGGTCATTCACCCTAAAATTAAAATGAAGCACTTACTTACTCACCCATGAGTTTTTATGATTACCAACTTGGCGTCCAAGCCCCCACATTAGACTTTTTACAGCTCTTGTAGCCAAACCCCTGCATTGTGTTCCTGAATAACCAATATCTACCTTACTCCAGATATTTTAACATATTTCCTAACTGAAAAACTGGGTCTGGGCTACTGACAAGTCTCTGAAAGCTTTTGTTGGAGTGAAAGGGACAAATGAGGGCATGTGTATATGCTTGAAAAAGAGATTTATGACAAAACTAGGTCATTGTGCCACTGTTTCCGACTCATCTCAGTGGGTTGAGTAGAAAAGTAGTACATTAAGTGGGAGCAAGACATGCCAGCCAACAGCCTTGATGCCCTGGGCTCCTCTTGCTGCTCAGCTATGGATCCCCGCTCTCCTCTCTGGCTGTGTCTGTCCAATAAGGCTAGCAGGATGAATAATAAAGAGAGGAATAATACAGGCTCCAGAACACTCCCTGCAGTACTGCTTATTTTTTACTTTGAGCAACTCGAAGGAATAAAAATACCCTCTCCTTTCATCTCCTCTTTTAATTAATCATTTGATTAATGATTAATAATATGATTAGACAATATTTTGCATCTTTAAATTTGAAATTGAGACCCAAAATGTGGAACTATTCCATTAAATGTAAGCTTTGACAATCCGAGCTAACAATCTGAATGTTTTGCCATCCAGACGAATGAGAAGGAATCAGAGAGGCATAGTAAGTGGCATTTCTCTGCTGAAGTGTCATTGAGCAGAGGCTTGATATTTCACCCTCCTTTGAAGGAAAACACAAATAGTCACGAGAGGCAGTAAACTCAACACCAAACAAACACCCAAAGCAGGAAATGAATTTGCTCTTCTGTATAAACAGCAGCAGGATGTGTCTGTGTGCCAGCGTCTTTTATCGGTCTGTTTTCATGCCTGCTTCTCCGTCTCTCCTCAGATCTCCACCCTGAAGCGCCAAGGCAGGACTCTGTTCTCCACCGTGCCAGAGACTGCCGAGAAAGAAGCTCACTCACTGTTTGTCCAAGAGGTAAAACTAATACATACCTGGACGTAAGCCTGCTTTGTCCGTTCTTTATCCCTCGGCCAAATCCTCGCCCTCTCTGTCGTGACTGAAGCCCGGCTCTATCCTTTTGTTTGGAGCAAAGCCATGTTTTCTCTTCTTTCCCTCAAACACAGGTGCTTCACCTCTGTCCAGATAACGCAACTGGCTCTCACAGCCTGAATCAGATACTGGAGCTCAGACATGAATCCAGCAAACGATTCATTCAGATGTGTTTATGGTGCACTGATAAAGCAGATTACATTTCAGAGGAAGCTAGCGAAACAGAGAAGTGTTCACATGATTTAGAGACAAGGGGAAACTGATACTATGCATGTCTAAATTGTTTCTGTTAGCCTTTAAATGAACAGGATTTGTGTTCTCCGCCCTCACATGTTTTCGGCTACAGATGGAGTCCACAGTTCAGTGGAGGTGCATGTCATGTTGTTTCAGTGTGCTGGGGTTGGTTGGGGTCCTGATAGATAGGGGATAGTCCCCCGTGGCTGCAGCCAGGAATTACATCATAACTACATCTGGAGTTGCTGTGAGGCCTCATGCAGATGGACTGTTTTCTGGATGAATTTTTCCACTTCATATTGACCCTTTGCCTCAGTCAACATGTTTATTATATAAATTTGCAGAATTGATGAGCACATATTGGACTAGAAATACACTTATTGAGCACAGGCCTACGCCAGAGGACAACGACGCAATCACATGCTTTTCTGTCTTTCCCGAGTTGGGAAGTTCGACATGGGTGTGTTCATGAGCTTTAAACCATCATGCAGAAATGACATAAGCTCTTGAAAGAAGATGTGTTCTAGGCCCATCTTATTGCCCATTGCTACCCTATTGCGTGACACATAAAGTGGAGGAAAACGACTCAGTTGAGCCAGAGGATGTGGACCATTTTTTCAGACATTCCTAGTTGTTTTTGAGCTAATGAGCTTTCTGAGCTTGTAGTTATTTGTCACTATTCGTTGGCAAAAATGGCATGACATGTTATTAGTTTTTGTCTACAAAGTTTATTTTCTGTCTTAATTGTCTGCTGTTTACTTAAAGATGTTTAATCCAGTCCAAAAACACATATGTCTGTATATTTTTACTGCCCTTATTTACACTGCCCTTAAGGTGGATTTAATGCATTGGAGTAGTCTTACCATATTTGAATCTGCTACTAGTCAAGTCTACCTTAAAAGCAACAGTCCAACTGAATCCGTTCTCACTAAAATGTTGTTGATAGAAATGTAATTTTCCCAGGATGTTTAAGAAATCTGAGCCTTCCCCTGTCTGGACCCTGTATGTTAGTACGTGTCTTAATTTGCTCTGTTGAAATGACCTTTTTACTTTGTGTCTCTGCAGTGTATCAAAACCTACAAGTCTGACTGGCATGTGGTCAACTACAAGTATGAGGAGTATTCTGGAGACTTCCGCCAGCTCCCAAAGTGAGTGTGTTGGCTGCAGCTTTACCTATACATACTATAGAACAGGTACAGCACAGAAAATCTGTTACACAGATGTTGAGTTGCATTGTGGGACATGTAGCATCCAGTGTTGTAATTTCTCGACCAACCCAGCTCCATTTGAGAAAAAAAAACACCTTTAAATTCAGTAAATTAAATATATTTCACCTTCAGTTACTTTATTTTCATCCCCTCAAATGAATTGCTCTGCTCTTGTTGCACACATTGATTTATATACAGACCACATTCTGTTGTTTTCTCGATTGCTTTATATCCATAAATGCATGTGTTGTTTAGCTAATAGTTTGCTTTAGCCATCACACTGCACACAATGCTGCAAAAGCCCTCTCAGGTATGGTGCAAATCTTTTTTGGTCCAGTGACACTGCCCTCTGTTTACAGCCCAGTGGATGTTTTAGACAGAAACACGGAAACATGTTTCTTGGAGGCGGCAAGATCTTCCACAACAACAATAGAAGGCTTCCTCTGTTTTTTCTAGCAAAGATAAGCACAGCTATTCTGGGACTGCTGTCGATTGATATAATTAAATCCCAAGGGAAATCCCACAATGCGATAGAGTAAGTGTCCTTGGTCGAGCCACTTTCCTTAAGGACAGGAATGTCCTTTACAGATGTTGTGTTTCAGGTTTAAAACATCCTAGAGTAAAAAGTAGACAAGCCCCGGCCTTGACCTTGACTCTGTTTATGCTTGTAGCTCCCCTGAGCGAGCTGGGTCTTGTAAAGGGCAAATGTCAATGCTCCGTCTGGGGTTTGAGCTGCACTTAGAGTAGCAGCTGCAGCACTTGGGCTACTTCCTGTAAAAGTAGAAGCACTGAAAAAAATAAGCTTTTCGCGCTTTTTAGATACTGAAACATATGTGTATATTTCTTCAAGCTACACAGTTTTGACCCTTCTCATACCTCTGAACGACATATTATTAATATTTGCAATATCCATGACATCGACATGGGGCTTTATTTGGTCTAGATCGCAGCTGCCAAAGGCCTCTCTAGATCTAAGATCCGTGTGGGAAGCGTTCTCATTTACTGAACATTTGGTTTAGTTTGTGGAGCACAACATGATGCCATTACACCATGTTTACGTAGCCAGTTTGTAATTTGGTCACAAACAACAAAGTCTCTTACTGTTTCTTGAATTTGTCTGTCAACAATGTCATTTTCCTTCTCACATACAGCTCCTTCAAGTTGTGTTTACATAAGTGCAGGGTTGCAGTGCATGTTTGAAAAGGTCTTTGACTACTAACATCAATCCTTTTGCTGTATAAACCTTATATTTGTACCTTTTTAAAGTCTGCAAGACATGTAAGTCCTTGTGGTCCAAGGGTCTTACTTATCTTTTTCCTGTACTTTCAGTAAAGTGTCAAGACCTGAGCAACTGGCAGCTCACCTGTTTGAGGTGGATGAAGATGTTGAAAAAGATGAGGTGAGTCCACCAATCCCAAACAATCTCTGCCCCATAGTCTTCTCAGAATCCCTTCTTCTCTAGGCCTCACCAAACCCAGTTCAGTCAGAAATGTGATTATAAGGGAAATGCAATAGAGCAAAAACATTATATTGAATATCTCGTCAAATTGACTTATTTAATTCCACACTTTTATTACAAGCTAACCTTTAGACATTTTGTTTCTTGTTCTATGCTCTTTGCAGTTTCCCAGAATATCTGATATCTAGAAGTTTAAGGGCAAAATAATCCCATAATTTCCTCGCCTCATGCATTGATTTAACTAAATGCCAGTGACCTTTGATGCACACAGCGTCACGGCTGAAATCCCCTGAAATTAGAGAAGTGCAGCATTGATTTAAATCTTGCTCTTAATGAAGGACTGAACAGTCAATAAAGCCTCTCCTCCTAGATTTTCAAGTGTGTAAATAAATGTAATTTTTACCTCTGTTTATTTTTCCTTTAATGGCAGAATACATCAGTAATGTGTGTTCTGTATCTCCTCCTGCAGGACACAGCCTCTCTGGGATCTCAGAAGGGAGGAGTGTCTAAACATGGCTGGCTGTACAAAGGCAACATGAACAGTGCCATCAGTGTTACTATGCGGGTGGGTAACAGCTCCAACAGCCTTTCAAAGCCCCTTCTAATACTGTTAGTAGTGACTGCAGGGATTTTTATATTGATAATGATACGCATGTTAGCACACAGTTGAAAGGCAGTGTGGTTAAGGGGGCACTATATTGATTTTACACATGAAGTAACTCAGCTTCAAGTACTACTAAGCCTTTGAAAACAAGTTGTGTAATATTTTTAGTCTCTAAAGGAGCTTCATAGTTTCAACACTTTAAAGAAAAAAATCTGTCCCACAGATTAACACCAACAAGTCCAACAAGTTATTGGAAACACATTTACTCCTTAAATCATGATTCTGTTATTTTTTTGCTTAAAATGAACAAGAGCAACTTAAAAACAATACCTTTTATTTTGCACTTCAAACAACAATACATTGATCATGCATTATCCTGAAGAAAACAAATCTTAAAGGGATAGTTTGAGAGATTTGTATTCAATGTGTGACTTCTTTAAAACATCCCTATTCAAGCATTTTTCAAGGTGTTTGAGATATGTTTTTCTGCTTCCCTTAGCCACAGCAGTACAGTGCTTAGCTTCCTGCTGTACCTCATACAACCCCATTTCACAAAATATCCTTGAGGCATTACAAAATAACAACAAGAAAAAAGTATGTTTGGTGAACATTCCTTAACTTTACATAATGACTGCCTCTAGAGCTCACACAAAACAATCTGCAATGTTTACACCAAGGAGAATTGAATTTAGTTCATTTTGATAATTTAGCTGTCTATAAATCCCTTCAATATTAGTAACCTTTATTAACTAAAGACCTAACAGCATCTGCGTTGCCTTTTTGTTTAATACTAGGTGTGGTATTTATTAATAATCAGTTGGCATGCAGGAAACACATTTAATTTAATTAAATTACATCATTTTATCAATGTAAATACAAACTTTGGATTTCCTCCAGTCTGTGACTTTTTCTCTCTGCACATCTGGAAATATAATTAGCCATTGCTTGCGGTAGCCTATAACTTGCGGCACTTTGTCATTTTACCCTTGAGCTTTCCCATGCTCCATCTCCACCCTTGCGGTATTTTTAGAGTGAAAGAGGCTGTTTGGGATGTCAACGTCTTCTGTTTTTAACCTCCAGTCCTTCAAGAGGAGGTACTTCCATCTGGCCCAGCTGGGGGACGGATCCTACAACCTCAACTTCTACAAGGATGAGAACACCTCCAAGGACCCCAAAGGAACCATCTTCCTGGACTCATGCATGGGGGTGGTTCAGGTAAAGGATCTTATGTACTGAAGCCTTTTAAAACCACCAAGTACAATATCAATTCAGAACATTTAAGTGGGCATTCTTTACCCCTTTATGCCCCACACAAATTGAATGGTTCCCCCTATAGGTTGAAATTGTGAAATGACATAAAAATGGACTGTATGAAATCAATATTTGCATCTGTGTGCTTCCAGAACAGCAAAGTGCGCCGGTTCGCCTTTGAGCTGAAGATGCAGGATAAGAGCACGTTCCTGCTGGCTGCAGAGAGCGAGGCGGAGATGGAGGAGTGGATCGGCACGCTCAACAAGATCCTGCACAGCAGCTTCGAACAGGCCATGCAGGAGAAGAGGAACGGAGACCTGCATGACGGTACCCTTTTCCATTTTATTTCGTTGACAGCTTGTTTGTCTGTCTTAGAAGCTTAATTATTTCTGTGTGCTTTTGTTTATGTGCCTTAGGGCTTGTGTCTGTTGATGCTCGATGCACCTCAGGGTTAATCTATTCCCCTGTACCGCATGGAATTAAGTTATCTCCGGGTTGTTTCTTTATGAAAATCACTCATGCTTGATAAACAACTTTATTATTAATATGTTTTCCTTATGTAATTCTTTTCTCCTCATAGAGGCCAACACATCATTATGTTGTTATATAATTGCATCAGCTCATGTTGATCTCTCCAACAGATGAGGAGCTTGGAAAAGCAGACATCTCCTCCGGAAGTTTTCAAGACAGCTTTCAGGTAGCCTGCTTTTTGCATCTGTGGTCACATGTTAAATCCTGCCCTCTGTTTGCGCACACCATAAACTGTTGAATGTCTGAAGGTGCCATGTGACCACACTTGGAAGCAGTCTGAACTGTAAGGGCTTTGCTTTCAGTGGATTTGCTATACAGCTGTATTTCCTGCTACCAGGTTTCCTGTTGGTGCTAACCAAGCAAACATCTGCTATAGTGGGAATGGCCTCCAAATGCAGAGGCCAGATGAGGCCAACTGTGGTGTTGAACAGGAGTGGAACGTGGCAGTCTGAAAACAAACTCTTAAAGGCGCTAGTTTGTGATTTATATTTACCAATTTAGCATAAAGCTGCACCTATAAAAAAGTGTATTTCAAAGATAATAAGCAGGCATCATAGAAATTGGTACAGACTTGGACCTTACAGAAAGGCGGATCTTAATGTACATTGTTTTTGTCCTCTGAATGTACACACACTGTTCCTCTTAGTTTGATACTGTAAACCCAAACCAGGACTATGACATGGATAGCATGATCATTTCTATCCCTTTCCTTTTCAAATAATAAACTGTTGTTCGCTTTGTTTTGCTTTATTTAACAGACTGCCAGAGATATTGAGTCCAAAATGAGGAGTGAAGCTCGTCTGAAGCTGTTCACTCTGGACCCTGACACACAGGTGATGAAGCTCTCACTAGCACCACAGCCAGTTTTGTTATTTATCGAATGAATCACTTAAAGGTTCTGCTGTGCCAATATAAACCTTATGACATCTCCTCCCCTCCTATAGAAACTGGACTTCTCTGGCATTGAGCCGGACGTGCGGCAGTTTGAAGAGAAGTTTGGGAAGAGAGTCCTGGTCAGCTGTAACGACCTGTCCTTCAACCTGCAGGGCTGCGTCGCAGAGAATGAAGAGGGACCCACAACTAATGTATGTTTCAATTAAAAACTAGAGAGAGTTCTTCATCATAAAATACGCATATTATATATTTTTTTGTACAAAATAAATGCAGTTCATTAAAAAGTAGCATACAATGGAAATACTCAAGGAAAGTATAGGTATGTAAAATAGTGCTTCAGTGGTGTAATGTACTTTGTTACATTACACCACTCAATATAGTTTGTCTTCAATGTGCATGCAGGTATGATACAGCATAATTCCAGGAAATGTCATTTACCAAATGAGCGCGAGGTCTAAATCAGATCACAGACAGTTCAGATGGCCCATTTTGCCCCGGCTTTGTCAGAATTGGTGTACTTGGCACGAGGAACAGCCATTTCCATGGCAACCAGCCTGGGCCTCCCACCGTGCATTAGCGCCAGTCTGAGGCTGGTTTCCTGCCGTCACTATCCAAGGTCTCTCTCTCTGTGGGAGGAGGAATCCTTCTACACTCAGCACTCAGCTGGGAAACCACAGCTATTAGCTCCTCAGAACACACACAGACAAATGGGTTTGTGTAATGGAAAAGCAGTGAATGGGAAGATGAATTACATCAATGGTACATTTTGACTGGATGGAAAATGAGAAGTGCATTAGGAAGAATGGGTTTCCTCTCAAGCTGTTACTCTTTCTTCCATAATTTAATTATTTTCCTCCATCCCTTCCATCAAAGGTGGAGCCTTTCTACGTGGTCCTGTCGCTCTTCGACGTCCAGAACAGTAGAAAGATCTCGGCCGATTTCCACGTGGATCTCAACCACCCTCTGGTCAGACAGATGACATCAGGTTCAACTAACAAGCAAGACGTGCACATCAATGGAAGCAGCGATGGTCCCCTCAGGCACGCCAGTGGGCTCCCAGTGGGCTCTCTCCAGTACCCCAGACAGGGGGTCTTCTCTGTCACGTGCCCCCATCCAGAGATCTTCCTGGTGGCCAGGATTGAGAAGGTCCTGCAGGGGGGGATCACCCACTGCACTGAGCCCTACATGAAGAGCTCAGACTCCGCCAAGGTTAGCAGAGATGACCGGGTGTGGCTGTAAATTACAATTTGATCAAGTTATCTTTAATCATTCATTAGCAAATGTCATTTTCACCTGCCTGTAGATGTCTCAAAAGGTGCTGAAGAATGCTAAGATGGCCTGCAGCAGACTGGGACAGTACAGGATGCCGTTTGCCTGGGCTGCAAGGTATACAACCACCCTTCAAGAAGACAAATGACTTTCAATGCATGGCTATTTAAAATGGCTATTGTGTTCAGGATGTCACACTGGTGATGGTTTTATTGGACCACTCAGGGGTCTGTAGTATTTTAACTCCACCTCCACATACCATGAAGTGAAAATGCGGCATTATACAATGACAGATTTTTTGCAGTTGAGGAAACTTACAAAAACCAAGGGGACTTATTCTCCTGTGCCATAATAGCACAGTGATACAGATTTTGAATGCTGCATATAAACTGAGGGAAAACTGTCAAATGAAAGTCAGCCTGCTGTGAGACTCAAATCTTACAAACCACTGGCGTAGAACTGAAATGTTTCTCCAGATTCAATGTTTTTTTTCCCTCCCTCTCTGCAGGCCTGTGTTCAAAGATGCATCAGGAACTTTGGACAAGAGCTCACGCTTCTCGGCTCTCTATAGACAGGACAGCAGCAAGCTGTCAGACGAGGACATGTTCAAACTGCTGACTGACTTCAGAAAGTATGTTTCCCCTCTCTCTTCAAGATATCACTAGAACTGATTTGAAACATCTTACTGTTTCTATATCTGTTTTCCAACAGAGCAGAGAAAATGGCCAAACTCCCCGTGCTCTTAGGGAACTTAGATGTAACTATTGACTGCGTGGCCCCGGATGTAACAAGTAAACCTTTGAAATATTAACAAAACACTTTTAATTCTCTAGTCAACCTTGAACCCAGTAACATCTCTAACTTCCCGCCTGCAGATTGCGTCACTACCTCCTACATCCCTGTGAGGAACTTTGAAGGCAACGGGAGTGGCGGCGCTCTCCTGGAGGTGGAGGAGTTTGTGCCCTGCATCGCTAAGTGCTCCCAGCCATTCACCATCTATAAGAACCACCTCTATGTGTACCCAAAACACCTGAAATATGACGGACAGAAAACCTTTACTAAGGTAAGAGCAGTATGGATGCATTTGAGGAAACAGAGGTTGGAGCTTTTTTATGTTGAGACCAAAACATGACTTATCCTTTTTGAAAGTAACTGCTTGGCTAGCATTCTCTTATCATCATGGTATTATGTTGCTGTTTAGCCTGTGAGACAACTGGCATCCGCCTCAGGCAGTTTGAGCCAAGCGGCAGAGCTGGATAGAATTATCCTTACGCTGAGCAGCAGCTTCTGATTAATACATTAATGCAGGGCCGGTATTTTCACTTGGTCAGCTCCATATAGGAAAACCAAGCCGCCTTCTCTCCCCATCTGTCTCTCTGCCCTCTTTTGTTTTAAATGAGAGCTGGCAATCCTTTGCCTGAAATATTTTCCGTCTCTTTGTAGACACTAATGGACATCTGAAACGGAGAAGCACAGTAGAAAAAGTGTCTGGCAGTCTCCAATATCTTGGAACTGGTTCTTTGTTTTATAATCTGCGTGATTGTAACTATTGTGTTCTTTTCTTTAGGCAAGAAATATTGCAGTTTGCGTTGAATTCAAGGATTCTGATGAGGATGAAGCCCAGCCAGTGAAGGTGTGTTCATGGACTTTAGTGAAGATCTTGATGGGTTTTAACTAATAACTAGTTAGTCTTGACCTTACACATTATAGCCAAACCAATTGTTTTATAATATAGGTAAACCACATGCACTCATCTGTCAGATTTGATCATCTTCCTGTTTTTTAATCTACTGCAGTGCATCTATGGTCATCCAGGAGGTCCTCTATTCACCAAGCAGGCATATGCCACCGTCCTGCACCATCAGCAGAACCCTGAGTTCTACGATGAGGTATGTCTGTGCTTATATTCAGGATCATTTGCATTAATATAATGCATCTGAAGTATGTTTATCTATAGCTCAAACCATTAATGGAGAAAGGCTGATATTGTATTCTATGTTCAATCTACTTTTTGAAGGCAGTGTGTTTTAAAATAAGGAAGTACGTCTCACCTTCTCTCTTATTGTTTAAGCACATTTCAATTCCCCATTGAATCCTCAGTGGGAATGCTCTGCAGGCTTTGTTCCCTTTTATTTTCCTGAACAAAGCTCCCTCTTTATTCGAGACCCAACCAGAGGAATCTGTTTTTCTCGCCTTCAGATAAAGATAGAGCTGCCAACTCAGCTGCACGAAAAGCACCACCTTCTCTTCACCTTCTATCACGTTAGCTGTGACAGCAACAGCAAGAAGAAAGACCTGGTGGAGGCTCCAGGTAGGTGGAGAGAAACACCGGCAGGTATTTTTATAAAAACTAAATAATGAATTCATGCAAATATCTGGGGTGCATAATGTAGGCAAAGCAGTTTGACTCTGGCATACTTGTGATAGCTGATTGAAAATGTGTCTGTACCTGCTCTATTCACAGTGGGTTCAGCATGGCTGCCTCTGCTGAGGGATGGCAGAGTCATCATGAACGAACAGCTGCTGCCAGTGGCTGCCAATGTGCCCGCCGGGTACCTGGGCTCCCAGGACGGGATCAACAAGGTGAGAAAGAAGAATATTATCAATATCTGATTATTTTGAAAGAGCTATAAGCTGTTGTAGCTTAAAAGAAATGAGAACTAAGGTAGCTGGGTGCGGTTAATGTAACGGTAAGTTATGATTAGGGTAAGCATTTTAAATGGAAAAGTAGTCATAAAAAACTGCTTTAACATTTTATTAGCACACCAATGTGCTAATGCTGGGTTTTACAAGGTATACATTCTTTTTCCTACCTTGTTTTATATATTTAATTCTATGTCACTATGTAAGTGTTAATGTATAAAAAAATGTAATGACGGTGATGTCTATTCAATGTTGACTTGACTTGACTTTATATGCAATGACTCCTTCATAATAATGCAATCAGGAAAAAATGTAAACCAATAAAATAAAAATATAAAAACATACAGAAGTGGCAGATAGTGCAAACCCATATTGCTTTCCGAACTGCATGTGAAGGAGGCACTTTTTTGCCAACTGCGCCTATAAACGTGGTACGGCATCTGTTTGAAAAGTAAACAAATAAAACACTTATTCCGTCTGTCTTGTAGTACGCTGCTTGACTTCCTATTTTACAAAGAATCTGTCACAGATTATGTCAATTACTCTATGTTTTAGCATTTTAAATCAACACAGTGCCGTTTTTACTCAGTATCCAGTGCTTCCATTATTTCCCACTTGTCATTACAGCACTCTGGCTCGGAGATCAAATGGGTAGACGGAGGAAAACCTCTGTTCAAAGTCTCAACTCATCTTGTTTCCACAGTTTACACTCAGGTATGTACATTATAACCATTTATATCCTTTGCTCGTTGATACAAACATCATCTAACATGATATATTTCCTTTAGGATCAGCATTTGCACAACTTCTTCCACCACTGTCACATCATGGAGATGTCAGAACAAGCTTCAGAGGGAGAGCTGGTGAAATACCTGAAGGTATTCTAGGCTTTTTATTTCTAATGTGCCAAGGAAAACACAGGAACACACCCTTTTTCATGTCTCATCAAATACAATCTTGTCATCTGGCATTAAAGGGAAAATCACAAGCCAGAGCCTACATTCATTCAATAGTATTTTTCTTTCTTCCTCCCTTTTTTTTGTAGAGTCTCCATGCGATGGAGGGTCATGTGATGGTCAACTTTCTGCCCACCATCCTCAACCAGCTGTTCTGCGTCCTAACCAGAGCCACACATGAGGATGTGGCTGTCAATATGACCAGGCAAGACACACACACATACACACACTGGCCGTTTCTCAATGTCGAGTAGAGCTGCTGCAGAGCCACTATTTCAAGTATACTACGTCATCGAGTGGAAGGACTGTTTAAATGCCCAGCATTCGGCGCCACTCGCTGACGTAGTATACTTGAAATAGTGGCTCTGCAGCAGCTTTACTCGACATTGAGAAACGGCCACTACCTTGTTTCCAGCAGCCTTATCTTCAAACTTCATCCGTAGAACATTATTATTACTCACTCAGTAGTTTATTCCCCTGCGTCTCTTCAATAGCCTGAATCCTCTTTCTCATTAGACACTCACCTATGGCTTGCATACTCCATATACCTCCGCTGTGTGTGGGACTACTCTTTGAAGCTGTCATTATCCATTTCTCTTCAGGGTGATGGTTCATGTTGTAGCGCAGTGCCATGAGGAAGGGCTCGAACATTACCTGAGATCTTATATCAAGGTGCAGTCTCTCATTATTTTCATACTGATCATATGAGTGCAGACTATATATTTGTATTTTTCTGATTTGTATCCCTCTCTCCTCTCAGTTTGTGTTTAAGCCCGAGCCTTACTCCTCCACCAATGTGAAAACAGTTCACGAGGAGCTGGCTAAAACCATGACAGCCATTCTCAGACCTTCCACAGACTTCCTGACCAGCAACAAGCTGCTCAAGGTAATATTACATTACATTACATGTCATTTGTTAGACGCTTTTATCCAAAGCGACTTACATACATGCAGTACTGTGTAGACAATCCCCACAGGAGCAACTTGAGGTGAAGTGTCTTGCCCAGGGACACAACGACATGCTGGCTGCAGTGGGACTCGAACTTGCTACCCCCTGATTCAAAGTCCAGCACACTATCCACTGAGCCACAGCCTCCCCCCTCTAATATCTATTACTTAACTAACGTCTCCATTTTAAGCATTTACACCCTGAGAAAATGATTGATTAAGACCATAACATACCTTACGTAATAAATATGTCAGTTTAGCGTGCACAAGAGCTAGCTTTGGCTATTACCCAAGCTAGCTATTGAGTTCTTGCTTTTTTACTGTCATACATACTTAGCTCTGTGTTTTTTTATGTTGCAGTACTCATGGTACTTCTTTGAAGCTCTGGTGAAATCAATGGCTCATTATCTCATGGAGAGCGGGAAGGTTAAGGTAGGTCTAGTTTTGCTCGTCTCAGCTTATATTTAACCTCTTCCCCCCAAGCCTAAATCCTTTCTTTTGCCCTCTCTTGTGCAGCTTGCCAGGATCCAACGTTTTTCAGCGTCCTTCAACCATGCGGTGGAGACTCTGGTGAATATGCTGATGCCACACATCACACAGAAATACAAGGACAACCTGGACGCGGCTCGCAATGCCAATCACAGCCTGGCAGTGTTCATCAAGGTTGGCACCCCTCCCAATGCCTGCAATGCAATACATTTGTTTTAAAATATTGCCCTTAAGGTTAACGTTAAGGGTACATTTGAAAATGTCGCAGCAGATTGTTCATTTTCCATGTTGTACCTGATATAAATAAATGTGATTCCCTTTTCACTTAGCGCTGCTTCACCTTCATGGACAGAGGCTTCGTATTCAAGCAGATCAACAACTACATGAACTGCTTTATGCCTGGGGACCCCAAGGTTAGTATGCTACTATCTTGAAAGCTTTTATTGAAATCATGAACCATGTAGTTAAGGCTAATCTTCTCTAAAAACGTTTCCTTTTGTGTTCCTGTCAGACTTTGTATGAATTCAAGTTTGAGTTCCTGCGGGTCGTTTGCAACCATGAGCATTATGTCCCTCTTAATCTGCCCATGCCCTTTGGAAAAGGCAGAATTCAAAGGTTCCAAGGTGAATGACTAAATGTCACTTTAATCTAAGTTGATTGTAGTTTATATTCAGCTTGTTCTCTCTCTGCATCCTGTGATCTTTAATTTGAATCTGCTGATAAATGCCCTCTACAGATCTCCAGCTGGACTATTCTCTGACGGATGACTTCTGTCGAAACCACTTCCTGGTGGGGCTGCTGCTGAGGGAGGTGGGCGGGGCTCTTCAGGAGTTCCGAGAGATCCGTCAGATCGCCATCCAGGTGCTAAAGGGGCTGATGATCAAACACACGTTTGACGACCGCTATGCTGCGAAAGTGAGCTTCAGAACACCCTGCAATTTTTTTAAATGTAGCCTCGTTAGTCAGGATACAGCATGACTCATGAACATTTACTGTGTCATTGCAGAGCCAGCAGGCAAGACTTGCAACTCTCTACCTCCCCCTGTTTGGTCTGCTCCAAGAAAACGTCTACAGACTGGACATTAAGGAGTCAGCCATCCTCAGCAACCACAATGTAAGCCTGACACCTAGTGGTGGGAAAGTTAACAGCAGCTTGTAACTGATCTTCAACACAATAACGACTTGGCTAATATTAGCTTAACATAGAACCTCATTACTCTATCTTTCTCTGTCTCAGAATGCCAGGGAGGACTCTTTGGTACCTCACTCCATGGTGACCCCTCAGAAACCTGGGAGCTGCATAGAAAATGCTCTCCACAAAGATGTGTTTGGAGTCATCTCTGGAACAGGTAAATCCTCAATCCACTATCGTACCATTCAAAAGTACAGAGTCAGTGCACAAATAGCATAATGTTTCTTTATAGTTTATTTAACTTGGCAGTAAGTGGACATGCTTTTCTCTTAAAAAAAACAACCTGTACAATTTAGATTTTGATGCCATCTTCTGACATGTAACATACATTTTGTGCAGCCTCCCCTCACAGCTCCACTCCCAACGTGAGCTCAGTTCACCATGCAGACTCCAGAGGCTCTTTGGTCTCCACCGACTCTGGGAACAGTCTGCTGGACAAAAGCAGCGACAAGACAAACTCCCTGGAGAAGGTACAGGAACATTTGAATGATAGACTATAATTAGTAGCCTATAAATGCCTATGAATGTTAACATGAAGTATCTGCTCTGTAACACTGTTATGTGGCACCAAGCTTAATAAAAGTGTGATGAAAGTAAAGCCTGTACCAACAAAACACAAGGGCTAACGTGGTAGTATAATATTGCTTAAAAACATCCAACTTCCCTTTAAAGTTGATACTTTGCAGAGCCCTCCCATAAATGTGATCTTTCTTCACTCTTGGACATCCTCCCTCCCCCTCCTCCAGAGCTCCCCTTTCCCTTCTCCTTGCTCTGTAACTTTCCAACCCCACCAAAAGGAGAGATTTACCAGGAGGCACTCTGTGAATGTGCCTCCTCTCCCCCTGGAGCCCGAGGGCAGAGTTCCACCTCTGACCCGTGCGACCAAGCGGGTCACCATGGACTTCTCCCTGCTCTCTGCGCCCCTGCCTGACCCGCTGCAGGACAGGGACCGAGACAAACAAGCAGCAGGGCAGAGGGTGGATGGAAATCATGAGGAAAACATACCCATACAAGTATTCAGTTTGACCTTTGTGACCTCTGCACCAGAGAATTTTGGCTACAATTTTACAGGAAATTAATTTGTATTTTTGATTGATATTTTTGTGCTAGTGAACTCCAGTTAAGAAACCAAAACATACCTTAGTTGTACAATTTGCCCAAAATCCTCCCAACATTCTTCACTTCTGTGTGTCCCACATCAGGGAGTGTGTGTGCTTTCATCATCGCAGAGCTGAGCGCTGACTCGAAGCCTTTTTTAAAATTATTTCTTTAGAAGCCGTAAATGTGTTTTCTCAACTGATGTTGTTTATCTCAAAGCACAGAGCTGCTGCAGCAAATGTGCTTTCTTTGCTCTTGTGTACTTTCCCCCCCTCTCAGGAAAATACTTGACATTTCTCCTCTCTGAAGTTTGGGTTGTTTGAGTGATGACATTTCTCTCTAAAGTTTCGAATTATTCTCCAACTCTACCTTCCTCGCCCAATAACTTTTTAATGTATTCTCTATTTCAGAACCAGTGTGTGTCCACTCTGGGCAGCAGTGTGCTGCGCTGTGACAAGATGGACCGGGAAGAGATCAAAAACCTGCTCATTGGCTTTCTGCACATCCTCAAGAGCATGTCAGAGGGTATGACACATGTCTAAGTCTTTGATCTGGGTATTAACACAAGTTTATAGGTACAACCTGTTCATAGTAATCCTTTCTTTCTATTTCATCCCCTCAGAGGCACTTTTTGCATACTGGAACAAAGCAGCTCCCTTGGAACTCATGGACTTCTTCACATTGATAAAGTAAGTTCGGAATCAGACTACGCTACAAACTTCCTGTTTCAGAATGTTCAATGATTTCCAGGTCTTGAATGTATTAATAATCCCTGACTGAGCCCCATGTTTTGTCTCCTGCAGAGTGTGCCTTCATCAGTTCAGATACATGGGAAAGAGATACATCGTCAGGTACAGTGTTGCAGGAAATAAATGATGTCTCAAATCTATTTCAACACTAAATAAATGGATTCATTCTTGAACTGACTGTTCATCATCTATGCAATTATATGACTGACACCCATGCGCAGACTTACAAAAACAACTGAATCTTTTAACCCCTTGCTTTTGGTTTGTTCTCTTTTCTGTAACACTGGTGGCAAGTTGCTTTGTGGTTAATGTCGCGGCCCCAGGCCCCTCCTGCATGGGTAAGGCATTGCTGTGTTTTTGTCTCACTTTGCTTAATTCAATGCATGATGCTGCCATTTGTTTTGCATTTTAAATATTATATTCTAGCCATTATGTATCTGCTGTTCTCAGTTCTTTTGCTATTTTCTTCTATAAAGCACCACTGAGACGTTTCCTCATTTTACTTGTGTTTTTTAGTGTCTTTGTTTCTTTCCGTGCCATCCAAACATAGCGGTAATGGTGTTTCTCTCGTCCCAACAGGAGCCAGGAGGGGGTGGGGCCTGTAGCTCCAGACAGGAAGTCTCTTACTCTCCCTGTGTCCCGTAACAGGGCGGGAATCCTGCACGCCCGCCTGCAGCAGCTGGGAACTCTGGAGAACGCTCACACCTTCAACAACAGTAAGCCTTACTGTCCTGGGATGCTTGGTGTCCTTTACTGACATCTAGTGGCAGTCAGTCAGCGGTGCAACAACAATGTCACAGTTTATCTCCTTCCTTAATCAAGCAAATAGAAGTTCTTGCTAAATGAATTCATTGGTACTGATTAGCAACCTCATCAATCAGATGATGTGCTCTGTATTTATTGCTGTGATGAAATCTGTCACAGTGACCATGAGCTTTCTGTGCAGTGTACTCTCACACAGAGGCAGACGTGAGCAGCCAATGTCTGCTGGAGGCCAACGTGTCCACAGAGGTGTGTCTCACTGTGCTGGACACACTCAGCATCTTCATCATGGGATTCAAGGTATTGACTGCACATCAGACTGCAGCAATAAATGTCATGTTAGATCTTTATCGCTTTGCTTACATTCTGCTGTGTCATCAGATTCAGCTTAATTCCGATCTGGGTCACAATCCCCTGATGAAGAAGGTGTTCCAGGTCCATCTGTGCTTCCTGCAGATCCCTCAGTCTGAGGCCGCCCTCAAGCAGGTCTTCACCTCCCTCAGGACCTTCATCTACAAGGTGCCAGTCACCCTCTATTTAACCACCCCATTAAAGCTCACTTTTTTGAGTTGGTGATTTAAAATGTCAAACTCTCCAACCACTGCTCAAAACAGCACAAAATAAAAGCACACATTTAGATAACATAAAATAAGTAAGGGGAGATGTGAACTAATAAAATGTTTATTTTGACCATACCATATTTAAAAGGGGACTAAAATCTGTTGAACATCACTAGATAATCTGTGGTCTATAATGTACTGTTATGAACTCTGTTTGGAGTTTTACATTGATGGTTGCTAAAATCAATTTTCCTTTATTCCTGTATTTCCTCCTGTCTCCCCCCTCGTGTCCTCCAGTTCCCCTGCACCTTCTTTGACGGCCGGGCCGACATGTGTGCCTCTCTCTGTTATGAAATCCTCAAGTGCTGCAACTCCAAGCTGAGCTCCATCCGCAGCGACGCCGCACATCTGCTCTACTTCCTCATGAAGAGCAACTTCGACTACACCGGACGCAAGTCTTTTGTACGGACCCACCTGCAGGTAAGTGTTGATATTGTGTGAATATGTTATAACTGTTTGCACAAGGCCTTTTGTATTTTTGGTCATGCAGTGTTATAATGATTGAATTGTTCCCTCGTCTCTATTCTCCCAGGTGGTGATTGCTGTCAGTCAGCTGATTGCTGATGTCATCGGCATCGGAGGGACCCGTTTCCAGCAGTCTCTCTCCATCATCAACAACTGTGCCAACAGTGACAAGAGCATCAAGGTCAGGGGGGGTTATCAACTCAGAGCCATTATTTTTCCTGTTAAAATGAGGGTTTTGTACCTCGCCTTTCAATAACTTGACTGTTGATTAATTCTAAAATTGGCTATCAAAACGTTACACTCTAAAAATATCTGCTACTAACTTAAATTAAATTAACATTTATCCATATCCTTAAAGGAAACTAATGTTGTACTTGTTCTGTTGCAGCACACAGCGTTTCCATCCGATGTGAAGGACCTGACGAAGCGCATCAGGACGGTGCTGATGGCCACGGAGCAGATGAAGGAGCACGAGAACGACCCGGAGATGCTGGTGGACCTGCAGTACAGCCTGGCCAAGTCCTACACCAGCACCCCCGAGCTCAGGAAGACCTGGCTGGACAGCATGGCCCGCATCCACCACAAGAACGGAGATCTTTCTGAGGTATATTCAAGGAGTTTTAATTTAATTTTGTATTATTACCAATTCCCTTTTTTGCTAACGTGACTTATTTGTCTTGTTCCCCTGCAGGCAGCCATGTGTTACGTGCATGTTGCTGCGCTGGTAGCTGAGTACCTGTGGAGGAAAGGTGAGTCAAGTATATACAATCTGCTAATTGTATGCTTCCTGTTACAATAAATAACCACTGACCTTTTCAATATCCAATTTACAGAGGCCATATAATGAGTCACTGGTAAAGGTTAACACAGTAGGAAAACGATTAATAGTTGTTAAATATAGCCACAAAATTAATTTCAGAATTGTTTACTGAAGAAACACTTAGTATCTCTTAATATTCGTTCTTGTTTTAATTGGTCTACACTTCAACAAATCAGTACACAAGTATCTTATGTCATGTGTATTTACTTTTTACAATGCTCGGTTCTTCAGCCATGTTTAAGTGTGGGTGTGTTCATCATGCATACTTAAACACAGAAACATACACCTTCATCTTCCACCTGAGCGCTGGTCCAAAGGTCTTCTGTTGCTTCGTGTTTTAAAACACTCAAACTCCGCATTCCCTAGATAAGACCCTCTCACACGCTGGGTTCAGATTTGGAGGGGCTCTGTTGTTAAATGAGGCAGGATCTTATGAACTCTTGACAATGAACACTTCATTCAAAGTCAAAGTGTTTCAAACTGGGCTCAACTTCAAGACCCCCTTATTTTTAGAGAACTCGGCAATTGACCCTTAAATGTTTAAATGTGTGCCTGATGGTATGCCATCCCTATGAAATATACAATTGTGATTTCAATGTCTTACTGCTTTTTATAACAACATAGCAATGCTAAGTATTATGTGCTTCTGCTACCTAGCAAAGGCAGGCACTGTTATTATGTTAGGGTTATATGCCAATTGTAATTGGTACACCACTTTGACCAGGATTAGATAAGATAACATAGAACTATTTGTTATTTGTCCTGATGGGAGGGTAACAAAATATTTTTTAGTTGTACCTTCCAAGGACACATATCCTATTTGTTGACACTTTTGCTGTTACGTGTCACTGCTTTGGGAGGGGTATGCATCACATGACATATGCATTTGATTTTTTAATATATATATATTACAATTTTGCCGCTTTAATTAACGTAATCCCTCATCTTCCGTATCTGTTTGTCAGGTATGTTCAGGCAGGGCTGCTCGGCGTTCCGCGTCATCACTCCGAACATCGACGAGGAGGCGGCCATGATGGAGGACGTGGGGATGCAGGATGTTCACTTCAATGAGGTATTGTGAAATGTTCTACATGCTAGTCCCACTGTGTTGACCAAGCATTTCGGATGTTTTTTTAACAATCACATATGAACTCTTATCTCTTTGTCCGTATCTATTGCTCCGTGTAGTGCTCAGTGACGATGCTGCAGACCTTGACACAGGGCTTGGTTCATGTGTTGTTTATCACATGTAGAAAATCCCTGAGCTGGCAGACTTTCAGAGGAGTTCTGGGATTCTGGCTCAAGTGTCAGCGGCTTGTTGACAGAAAGGCCTATAACCAGTTCTTCTAGTGAATATATCATCCAGTGAAATTGAAAGTGATAGCGGGATATTGTGTGAACTTTAATGAGTCGGTTAACAGATGTTTGGACGATGAGAAACCTTCCGTCTGCTCTGAAAACCGTTCCTCTTTATGAGCTCCAATAAAAAAAAAGAGATGATAGATCCATTTCCTCCCACGCTTCTATCTTTAAAGGAACACCGTGCTCAGTTTAAATGCACTGTAGTCCTATAAACAAATAGGAACAAAAATAAATGTCCCTCTTAGCAGCAGTTAAATATACGTAAGAGTCGACACTCCGGTGTTGAGGGTGGCGTTTAATGAAGTGTGTGTTTATCTGTGTGCCCAGGAGGTGCTGATGGAGCTGCTGGAGGAGTGTGCTGACGGCCTCTGGAAGGCGGAGCGTTATGAGCTCATCGCTGATGTTTACCGGCTCATCATCCCCATCTACGAACAGCGCAGAGACTTTGAGGTAAACTGCACAGTGATAGAACAGGGGTCGCATGTTATCAGTACATAAAGCTGCCAGAGGACAAGGTGTGCATCTCAGAGAGAACACTATCTAGCCTATTACTCTTACTATCTGTATTATTATTATGTTGCATTGTTGGAGAAGCCTGTGACATAAGATTTTCAACAACATAATTACTCTGTAGCTATGTCAGTTTGACAATAAAGAACCTTGAACCTTGAACCTTGATCTATATATCTTGGTACAGATGCTTTTAAAGACAAAATAATGGATTTTAACTAGTGTGTTGTAATATTAAAAAGTTAAAATAGTAATAGTAAGTAAGTAATAGTTAAAGTTGGGTATGAACAAAGTTAAAGCTAAAGTTATTTAAAAAAGCAGTAATTATTTTACACATGCATCCTTGCCCATTTTATTAATACTGCTACATCCTTACTTTGGTCTGTGTCTATTAACTTATGGAGGTTGAATGTTAGACAACTTATATTCTTTGGCAACTAACTCATAAATGTTGATAAATGAAAGGGAAAAAGTGTCAGAGATTTAGTTATAACCATTAAAAAAAAACATAATCAACAGAATGTGAAGTTGTGTTAAAATGGCAATTTGTGTTCACTGCATAACTGACTTAATAAAAGTATAAAACCTCTTTATTTCCTCTTGTTCTTGGTTGATTTGCGTGTAACAGAAACTGACCCATCTGTATGACACACTCCACCGAGCCTACACTAAAGTGATGGAGGTGATGCATTCTGGAAAACGACTGCTGGGCACATACTTCAGAGTCGCCTTCTTCGGACAGGTAAGCGGCTACATTTATAAAAGACAAAAAACCCACTTGCAATTCTTACACAACTGAATTGTGCATTTCGCCATGTTAATAGAGATTTTCCTTCTCTCCTCCTTCCCCTCCAAGGCTGCGGTAAGTCTGTGAAGGTTTAGCAGTGTGTGGTGCCCTGGTGTGCTGTCCTGTCCTTGCATCATTTTATTGTTTGAGGTTTATTTGTTGTTAAATGAATGGCAACATGTAGCCTTTTGTAGCATTATAGTGGCTTGTGTGTTGGTGGAGAAGTAGTAGTTAAATTCAGATATTGAGTCAGCTGTATTTTTAGTGTTATAAATATTCTCTCCCAAAGTAAAATAGTAAAATTGCACTTAGACTGATTTCTGTAATCCAAGGTGCTTCTTTGGATACACTCCCTGATAACCTGTAGTTATACCGGCCTGCTTCCACCCCGTTTCCATAGATACCACTGAGAAGCTGTAACATATGCTTGATACAATAGATTTTTTTTGTGAGTTGACCTGGTGAAGTGTGCATGTTGTCATTCCCTTCTTTTCTTTCTTTTATATTTTTTGACTTGGCATGTGGTGTTGGGTTTTAATTCACCAATCTTGTTGTTTACATTTTTTCTAGAAATTAGCTCAATTAGATAAGACAACTGCCTTTCCAGGGATTGCCTTTTCCTAGCTACTTAATATAGTAACCAATAATTCCCGAGCAGGCCCTTGACCTCCTTCTCCTCGTCCACAGGGCTTCTTTGAGGATGAAGATGGAAAAGAATACATCTACAAGGAGCCAAAGTTCACTCCGCTGTCAGAGGTTTCCCAGAGGCTCCTGAAGCTCTACTCCGACAAGTTTGGTCAGGAGAACGTCAAGATCATTCAGGACTCCGGCAAGGTGGGATCACATTTGTGTTTATTTATGTAACCTTGTCACAAAATGTTAAACAATCGGTTTTCCCATAGCCACTGGTGTTTTACCTCTATCTATGTTTAAATCTATATAAAATATATTTGTGTACACCCAGGTGAACCCTAAGGACCTAGACTCCAAGTATGCCTACATCCAGGTGACCCACGTCACACCCCACCTAGACGACAAGGAGCTGGAGGACAGGAAGACTGACTTCGAGAAAAGTCACAACATCCGGCGCTTTGTGTTTGAGACGCCGTTCACTGTGTCGGGAAAGAAGCAGGGAGGGGTCGAGGAGCAGTGTAAACGGCGGACCGTTCTCACCAGTAAGTCGCATAGCAGTGAAGATGACAAACAGGAAATATAAGGTGCAATAGGAAAGTCTTTACAGTCAGCGTTATCACTGAGAGGAAGCAGAAGGAATTCCTTGTTTTCTGTTATGGTTCCCTTCTCGTCATTCACCTGAAACATTAATCAGATAAGGTCAGGGGAAGTTTATTACTGACCCGTCCACTTCATCCCAAAGTACATGTGTTATCTAGGCTTGTTAATAATCAGGCTGCGTCAGAGTGAGTGTGACAGTAACTGTTGACTCAACAGTTTATCTAAAAGAGGTGTTTCCATGACTAAGCACCTTTCTTAAACGTTATAAACTTGTGAATTTCTCCACTGGGATAAATAAAGGTCCATCTTACGTCTTATTTCTGTCATGTACTTTGCATTCCTGATGTATTGGTTAACTCTTTATGACATTTGAAAGCATCCTTTTCGTCTTCCCACCCTATTTTTCTCCCGCAATCCCATTCCTCTGCAGCCACCCATTGTTTCCCGTATGTGAAGAAGCGTATAGCAGTCATGTACCAACACCAGACCGACCTGAGCCCCATCGAGGTGGCCATAGATGAGATGAGTGTGAAGGTGGCCGAGCTGCGCCTGCTGTGCTCCGCCTCTGAGGTGGACATGATCCGCCTGCAGCTCAAACTGCAGGGCAGCATCAGCGTCCAGGTACAGGGAGGTCATGCTGGCGATTAGTAACATTAACACAATTCGTTTTTGGATTACAATTTTCTTAAATCTTATGTTTAAATATGTAAAAGAAGCATTATATTGCTAACTTTTGTTTTTCAAGAGAAATCTACAGACACAAATAAATAAAATGAAAACAATCTATTTGAATTTGGCACCTTGCATTTGTTGTAATTGCTGATCTTTAACCTTTTTTGTTTTCCAGGTCAATGCCGGTCCTCTTGCTTATGCCAGAGCTTTCCTCGATGACAGCAGTGCCAAGAAATATCCTGACAACAAGGTCAAACAGCTCAAAGAGGTGTTCAGGTACTTATCAATGATGGAGATATTTGCATATGTAAAACAGCGTGATATTTTAATTGTATTCAACAAAAATAAATATAGAAATACCGTTATACAGACATTGTGTCTCAGGATATGTTGTAGTTCTATGAAAATAAAGTTTACCCAAATGCTGCATATGGGAGTGTAGATAAATCAATATGTATCTTTATTTTATTGTATTTTCTCCTCATAGCATTGTGAAGCACCTTGAGATGATGTTGTTTTTAAAGTGTGCTATATGAATGACATGTATTATTATTAAATGTATTACAAATCTATTTTTGATTATGTATAGTGTGTATGTCAATAAACCAGTTTGTGAACATCTGTAATTAGCTTTCAATTCAACCCCTCAGGCAGTTTGTGGACGCCTGCGGTCAGGCGCTGTGCGTGAACGAGAGGCTGATCAAAGAGGACCAGCAGGAGTACCAGGATGAGATGAAGGCTAACTACAGGGACTTGGCCAGGGAGCTGTCGAACATCATGCATGAGCAGGTATTAACCCCCGGGGTCCATACAGTATGTGCAATACATCATTCAGACCAGGACCTGCTGAAAATATGCAAGCATATGTGCATCACACATGTTGTATTGTGCAATTACACGAATCCTGCCCATTAGAACCAAGGTAGTGAACTAATCAAAATAACCCCCAAACACTAACGAGATTCTAATTCTGCTGATTATATCAATCTAATTACTGTATTACTAATACTGCTAATGCTTTACAGCTGTTTTTGTTGCTGTTTTATTTTATTTGTACTTTTATGTTTTTTGGTTTATCTTATTTCATTTGAGATTTCCCCTGTTGCTATCTTCTGCTCACTTACTAACCATGTCTCTATCTCCTGCTCTCTTTGTGCTGGCCTGAGCAGATTGGATGGTAATGCTGCTTTTGTTACTCTTATACTCTATAGAGGAATAGTAAGGGACTGTATGAAAATGATTAGGCTGGGGAGTAAGTGTGTTACTATTTTCTTACCTACTTATCTACTGTAGCTCAGGAAAACAAATTACTCATTTCCCCCAAATACCTTAAAGTCATATATTTTTGTCAAATTTTACAAAATGGTAAATACATTTCAGACACTCAATAAGTGATTGACCACAAAAATACCATTCCTTATCTTCCTAACCATTTCTCTAGATAAACCCGGTGGAAGACGGCAACAGGAGCACTCTGTCCGACTCTATGGGCATCTTTAACGCCATCAGTGGCACACCAACCAGTGCCACCCCACATGGCTCCACCACCATACTCTGATCAGGATGTTCAACACCAAACTATTGCCTTCTTTATCCCTAATGACTGATTACACTTCCTGTCAGTCAAGAGGAAACAAAAAACATCTTTATTTGTTTTTGTTTTCATCATGCTATCCTGTCATCAGTTAGCCCATTCTTCTTGTTTCCTATGGAGACTCCAGTCAATACTTATACATTTTGTATAGTTTGTTTAATCATATGTAAAATGGGCTTAAGCACAGCAAGTGTGGATCCTATACTGTGACTTGCAACATGATGTTATCTTTATTATTCTGGTGTGTTAAGCTCCACCCAAAGGATGTGGTAACAGACTTCAGTATTTCCATGTAAGTCTACACCTTATCTGTTTTGTAACTGTAGGGCTCCCATGTATGTACATTGTTTGTATAAGAGAAAGTTTTTAATGGGAATAAATGAATACCACTGCTGTATCTGTTAACATTCTTCCACTGAGGCACAGTATTTTTACATTTTCTATTCTTTCCATTCAGGAGGCCCTGTTACAGCAGATGCACTTTTGTGAGCAGTGCAGAAAGCATTCATCTGTTATCTTACCCTGGACATTTGAAATTATTATTCCCTCTATTTTAGGCCAATGGACGTGTATAGAATCAGTCTAAAGCCAAGTGAACCACAATGTTTTAACCTTTTTTCTGTAAGGAAAAGTGTGTGCAATATTTTCTATTGTTACCATGGCCTACCTACTGCATAGAAAACCACTCTTGCCAAAGACATTAGAAAAAGACTGTGCAAGGTAAGCCAAGGGTGGCACAATTTGTAATCTACCCCCTTTGTTTCTTTGTCTGTCATGCCTTTTATTATCTGTGAGGTAAGATTAAAAAGCATTTTGACTTAGTGACTGCTCATGTAAATATGTTTAAGACTTATAAATAAAATAAATAATTCCTTCTTTCATGCCTTGGATTTGTGTGTTTAACTATGAAGCTACTAACAAATCACTTCACTAAGAAGTTGAAGGTTCGCTAGGGAATTTTGTAATGTGAGAAATGTATTTTGTTAGTTGAGAAAAGGAAGATGGATCCTTGAACACATTGTCACCTTCTGAGCCGTTCTTTTTTGTTTCAGACACGACCACAAGCTGCCCTTATCTCAAGCAGAAGCTACAGACTCACAACTGTCAGGGAAGTGTAGCTGGAGAGTGTAGACACGCACAGAGGAATTACTTTAGTAAAACACAGAAGATGAGGGACTCATGATGCATGGCTGTATGATACCTTAGGTAAGTTGAAATAAAAATGACAGTTAAAGTTTGTGGATATCTTCCCCTATCTTTCACTTATACTCTCAAAAGATTAAAAAGGCCCAATTGTACTTTTGGGGTTTTCCCTTTCCTGTAATGTGTTACTATATAGGTTGATGTGCATGAAAATGGTCTGCAAAGGCTAAAATCCTAAAGTTATTATCTGAATTATTGTTACTAATTTCATACTAATACAAGTGAGTCGGCATATGTAGAGTTATGGAGCTGTATTTAGTGATCCAACTGAGCTGTGTGCATTCATTGAAGAGCAACAGGAGTGAGATATGGATGCTGACTCCTGTGAAATCCACTACTCTCCACTGTCACAAACACCCCCACCGTGTCATTGTTCCAGAGGCTGCAAAACATCATGTGTCTGCCGTGAGTCCCGCTAGTGTTTTATTATGTGTTTGTGTCTGTAATTTATGAAATAGACAATAATATAAGATTTGCATATTGTAAACTTTGTTAAAAATGTAGTTTGTTCGTGCAGTTACTGTTTGTGCCTTGCATAACCATGGTCTGTATATTTAAAGAGGGCGAAGGCACTGTGACTCCACCCATGTCGCATTTTTGGCATCATATGGCAACTTGGGAAGAAAAATGCTAAAGAAGCTCCAAAAAGAAAAACCTCTGCCTCGTAGAGTACAACCAACTCAACTCCACTGTCGCAACCTGTCAATCACAAGGTAGCCACGCCCTGAAGCATATCCCATCCTACATTTATTTTACTCAAAATTGGATCATAATTGACAAAGTGAACATCATGCTATATAGAAAAAATGGACTTCTATACATTCAGACTATTTTGTGGAGTTGCCTCCCTTCTGGCCATTAGGAGGAATGCAGGCTTAATGTCTTCCACATTGGCTTGATTTTCACACCAGGAGATAGCGATCATTATTACCATTACATCCCAGTCACAAAGATTATCATCACATTTTCAGTTTTGAAAGCAATAAGAAATACATTATGACTATTGCTTCCTTTTATTAGGTGAACTGGCAAATCTTCATTCATCTCAAAGCAAGACGAGATCCCTGAGACATAAAGTAATAATTGACTGACACACCCACAAATACCCATAGGTGTAATTATGATGGAGAGAAAATGCTGGTAGGTGGGAATAATGGACGTTGGCAGGTGCTAGATGCCATGTGTTTGATCCACAGTCCAGCATCAGTGGGCGTTGCAGGAGGCTTGATGGGCGGTGACGTGGATATGGACCGGGGTCACAAGTCTCTCTGTCTTTTTGCTGAAGCATTCAGTCGGAGAAGGGACCCGGAATCAACGCACACAGCAGCCATGGAAGGTGAGTCCCAGTCTGGATGGCTGACTGGGATGCAAGAAAGAAACACTTCCACATTTTGAGATGACTTTTCCTGCATTTTTTAGAGGATTATTATCTGTTTATATCATGCATGGCACTTTTTATTATTGGATTTGCTACATGCATACTAGCTTAAGTCAACAATTTGATAAAAATCTACAACAAACCAGAGATATTTTTAGTTTGTTGGACACAATTAAGAATATTAATCTGCATATTTCACTTCAAGGAAAAGGTTAACTTAATGTGACTTCTGTGATTTCTTCAGACAACGACGAGACGAAGAAGCCCAAGCAGAAAACTGTAAGTCCAAATGTTATTGTCTGTGATATTTAATGAAAATCCACATATTAATTGTTTCCTGCTCTCATACCCAACAGGAATTAATTATTAAGAGGAACAAACATGTACTTATTTTATTTGTTCATCATAATCAATCAATCACAATTAAGTAATAAAACAAATCTGATTCCAGTTTTTAAAATGGTTTATTAAAAAATACCTTGGCTCAGGTCTTGTTAAATGCAACGCAAGTAATGAGAATATAAGTGATAAACCTACTGTACAGAACCTGCAGACAAACAACTTTGTAGTCACTATCCTTAAGTGTTTCCTTCTCCTCCAACAGGCTGTTATTTGTGGTTACCCAATAAGCATCTTCTTCATTGTGGTCAATGAATTCTGCGAGCGTTTCTCCTACTATGGCATGCGAGGTGAGTGGATTACATCAAATGCACTTAAAACTAAACCACATTTTGTTTGAAATACTTATTTTTCTTTACGTGATTAGAATATTTGACTGCTTCGCTTCGCTTTTTACACAGTTTCACTTATACTTAAGTGAAATTCCTGGCCAGTTTTTCACCTTCTTTTGCATCCCTATCAACCTCATTTCCCTTTTTTCCCCCTTTGTTCCCCTCCTCGTCTGCAGCTGTGCTTGTGCTGTACTTCAAGTACTTCCTGAAGTGGGATGATGACTTTTCCACCACCATCTACCACACCTTTGTGGCTCTGTGCTACCTGACACCCATCCTGGGAGCCATCGTGGCTGATTCATGGCTCGGCAAGTTCAAGTGAGTATGCATCCAAATACAAAATGCATCTTAAATACTGTAAGCATTCAGAGACAAATGAGCTTTAGTCTCATTTGGAGTACACAGTGTGTTCGGTAAAGTATATCTCACAGACTCAGCTGTTAAAGTTCATCCTTGGATTTTTGACCCTCGTCTATCTTATCTCTATCTGAACTTGTGCACCTGTTTCAATCTTTGCTCCTTCTCCCCCCTCCCTCTGCACAGGACGATTGTTTACCTTTCCATCGTATATACGCTGGGACAGGTTGTCATGGCAGTAAGTGCTATCCATGACCTCACAGATACAAACAAGGATGGAACCCCCGACAACATGACCTTACACGTGTGAGTGGAACTCAGAGAAGTGTGTGAGAGAAGTACAATAGATCCCCAGGTACAGATGTGTGCTGATGTGTGTGTGTGTGTGTCCTCAGAGCTCTGTCCATGGTGGGTCTGATGCTCATCGCCCTGGGGACGGGAGGCATCAAACCCTGCGTGGCTGCCTTCGGTGGAGACCAGTTTCTAGACCATCAGGTTAGATGTTGCTCAAGCACACACGCACATTCTCGCACATACTTTATACCAATGGCAGGGGAGATCAAATACCAGAGACACCTCTACAATTTGAAAACCCAAATGTTAATAAGTGCATTCAAGGTGCAATCAATATTATTTAAATGTTTGTATGTGTTAACAAGGTTTACATATTAGAAGATAATCATTTAGAAATATTGTTAAGACATTCTAACCCAAACTTCCTAAAATAGGGAATTTAGGAGAGTGAAACTGAACAAAATAATTTGTGATGCAACACAGTACACACAGCAGGAAATCTGCCCAGAGACAAGTTATGTTATGCTACAATATCCAATTATGTACGTTCATGCATGCACACACCACATGCACGACCTAAGTATTATCTCTCTCTGAAAACACACACACACACACACACACACACACACACACACACACACACACACACACACACACACACACACACACACACACACACACACACACACACACACACACACACACACACACACACACACCACAAACGTGCAATCCAACTCACTCAGCTATCAGTGGCACCTCGTCAGCACTTCTAGTATCTAGCTAGTTGTTTATTAACTAATAATAGGTACAGGTACATCTGTCTCAGTGACTGTATCACACTGTTCAAGGCCAGGGTCATATCAATGACTCCAGTGAAATGGGGCATTATATAAAACGTATCCAATATTATTTTGTAAAAATAATTATTGATTTTGTCTTGCCAACAGGAGAAGCAGAGGAGCACGTTCTTCTCCATCTTCTACCTGTCCATCAACGCTGGCAGTCTGCTGTCTACTGTCATCACCCCCATCCTCAGAGGTACATTAGTGGTGATTACAAAGCATAAAACACACCAATGAGTCATATGCTTCTTTGTAAAATAAATGTGTGTGTGTGTGTGTTTCCAGCTCAGGAGTGTGGTATTCACACCAAGCAATCGTGCTACCCTCTGGCCTTTGGAGTCCCTGCTGCTCTCATGGTGGTAGCTCTGGGTAAAATATATATATGTTTTTATGTCTTTATTGACTGTACCAATCAGATCAATTCTACTTTAATAAACTAGTTTGACCCATTTCATAAGCCCTTTATTATCCTCTATAAAGTGCGTTTTAGTGGTATCATGAATACTGTGCATATAAGATAAGGTCAGGTAAGGTAATGACATTCTTAGAATCATGTCCTTTGCTTTTGATAATTTTTGTTGTTGTTTTTAGAGGTTAACATGTATATTTGGTGTGTCTGCAGTTGTGTTCATTCTTGGAAGTGGCATGTACATTAAGACCCCCCCTCAAGGCAACATCATGGTGAAGGTCTGCACATGCATCGGGGTAAGTGGCTTCCACAAAGTTTTCATCTTAGAAATATATGGTTTTAAATAGAATTTACAACTTTCTGTAACAAAATGGTCTCCCATTGAGAGTAAGAATCCCACTGAATTGTCCTTTCTGCTCTCCGTAGTTTGCTATCAAGAACCGCTTCAGGCATCGTTCTTCTCAATACCCTAAGAGAGAACACTGGATGGACTGGTCTGATGAGAAATACGACGTAAGTGCAGTATGCATGCTTACGTACACACTAAAACAAACAGTAAAATAAATACAATTTAAAAATGATAATCCTTCTCTGTGTTCGGCTGCAGAAACTCCTGATTGCCCAGGTGAAGATGGTGGTGAAGGTGCTGTTCCTCTACATCCCTCTTCCCATGTTCTGGGCTCTCTTTGACCAGCAGGTAACAATTGTATTCCTGTACTGTATGTTGTGTTTCCAACCACCTTTAAAATATGTTTTTAACCCAAGTAATCCCTTAGCAGCGCAAAAGTAAATAAGAGCTGTGTCTCCTCCACAGGGCTCCAGATGGACCCTCCAGGCCACCATCATGGACGGAAACTTTGTACGTTTTATTTGTAAAAATGTTCCATGTCAAACCTTTTGAGCCAAACCACAGACAATGTTTTTTCTAACTGAGTTTATGTCTGTTTCCGTATTTTTCCTTAAACAGGGACTCCTCACAATCCAGCCCGATCAGATGCAGGTAAGACACTGGTGCTGACTACACTTTACATGTTGATGATGTTGACCTACAGTATAGGAGAGGTTAAAAGATCGATTTGCCTTCCTCCCCCCAGACTGTCAACCCTATCTTGATCCTGATCATGGTTCCAATCATGGACAGTGTCATCTACCCACTGATTGCCAAGTGCAAACTAAACTTCTCGTGAGTTTATTTCTCTGTTTTGTTCCTGTGTGAGGGAAACACTACTTTTAAACTCTAGCTTACCCCACAAGCATGTTATAAATAAATATAGACATCAACTCAAACGTGTGTGTGTCTGCAGCCCGTTGAAGAGGATGACTGTTGGGATGTTATTTGCTGCTCTTGCGTTCGTTGCTGCTGCCCTGGTTCAGTTACAGATTGATGTGAGTGTAACGCACAAGACAATTCAAACATGAATTACGTTACATCGCTCGATTCACACACATTTCCATTTCTCTTCTAGCAAACCATGCCTATATTCCCTTCAAGCACTGAAAGCCAAGTGAAGTACATCAACATGATGAGCACACCGCTGGACGTCAAAGCTGGAAACAACTATTTTACTTTGAAGCCTTTCACGGTATTCCACCTCACACTCACGATCTAAATGTACCGAAAGCAAATAAGTCACCACACAACAAAGGCAAGAGGACGTAGTGATATTGACTTATCTTTTTCCTACAGGCCAATGAGGATTACTTGACCTTTGGATCACCATTTACACTAATTCTTGGGCCAAATGCCAGCTCCCAAATAGCTGTCGAGGAGGGCAATCGCAGCACCTCGGTCATCGTCCAGGAAGGGACTCTACCCAAGCCTATAACAGTAAGCACAGCTGCCAGATTAGAGCGGTTAAAGTCCAACTGAAATGAAATGTATTTGGACTGCTATAGCTATGGATGTGTTCTGATAGCATTTAATAGACTGTAAATCAATGTGTGTTATCCATTATGTCAAATATGACCTAAAAAGTAGTATCTTTCTTTCTCCAGTTCTCAGACATCACCTCAAAGCCGGAGCAGGGCGCTAATGCTATCAGGTAGCTTTTAAACTATTAAAGTACTAGTAGGATGAATCAGTTTACTGTAGAAGACTGTCTCACTAATTGTATTCTGAATTCTCCTTCCCCAGATTCTTCAATGGATTGAACATAACTTTGAATATGACATGGGATGACCAGAGCTTTGGGAACATCCCCACCAACGACATGTCAAAATATGTTTTGATACCAAAGGGAGTGTAAGCCTGACTTCATTATAAACGTCACACACCCTCGCACAAGAGAAACGTCTTTGCACCACTGACTGCTGTTTCTCTTGTTATGTCAGTGCAGAGTACAAGATCAAGGATGCATTGGGATCAGTGTGCGACTACAAACAGGAGCTGGGCTTCGGCAGCTCCTACACCATAGTGATCCCTCCAACTTTCAACTTTGAATCTACGGTAAATACATTTTTAGTCGTAAAAAAAGCTTGAATGTAACGTTTTTGATCTATTTAACACATCTTGGTGCCTTGCAGTGTGGACAGATCCTCATTCCAGTGGTGGACATCAAGCCTAACACCATCCACATGGCCTGGCAGATCCCTCAGTACTTCCTCATGACTGTAGGAGAGGTGGTGTTCTCCGTCACCGGCCTGGAGTTCTCCTACTCACAGGTAGAGGGGGCTTTCCTCACATATCTGACAAATATTAAAACCAGAATCGGATGAAAAATTACCATGTCTTGATGTCCTTGCTATAATAAATAGTTATTTTTGAATCTCCCTTTGCTCTGCAGGCACCCAGCAACATGAAGTCTGTGCTGCAGGCTGGTTGGCTGCTGACTGTTGCCGTAGGTAACATCGTTGTGCTCATTATCGCCGAGGCTGCAACGCTCGAAGAACAGGTGGGTGGATTTTATATAAACCATTAGGAGACACACTCTGTCCACAGTGACCGTTTCAAACTGGCTGTAGATGGTTTTTAGAGAACATCTTGACACAGACAAGTACAAGTAGAACAGAGAAGACCTACATTCACTAATGCAAGACTAAAAGTAAACAAGTAAAAGCATAATGATGTACTTAAGTATTGCAAGTAAAAGTACTAATTTTGCGAGACAACCATTTCAGGAATAGTTATTTAATTAAAGTATGAATTTATTCATGTGTTCATCACTTTAATGTTGCATCTGCTAAAGGACGTCTATTAAAAAGGCATTATATCCTAAGTTGATCTCCAAATGAACTGTGTGTGTTTCTGTCACTAGTGGGCCGAGTACATCCTCTTCGCCTCCCTGCTGGTGTTAGTGTGCTTCATCTTTGCCTTCATGGCCTATTTCTACACCTACATTGACCCGGCCAAGATAGAAGCGGAGTTTGCCCATAAGGAGCCTGAGGAGAAGAAGAGGAAGAGTGTGGAGATGAGCAGGAAGGACTCAGTGGAGCAGCGCAGCGAGGGCAGGAAGAGCTCTCACTCCGGCTCTGAGAAGGATGAGGAGACCCTCCAGACCAAGATATAAAGCCACGCTTCTCTGCTGCTTGGTTCTGTTGCATGGACATGTAGTGGTAAGAATGAATAGATAAGGAGAACATAGACAAAGAGCTTCGATATTAAGCTCTTGGTGCACCGTGTTAGTGAAGGTTATTGGCAGAGATAAATCTCATTTTATTTTAGCTCAAAATGCTCTTTAGGTTCCTCATTCAATTAAAACCCCTTTATTCTTATTGGTTGGTAATTTTGGCTTCTTCGTTGTTGTAAATGAGTTTTTACAATGATTTATTTTGCACTGTGTAGCAACATTTTTATGTAATTATTGTTCATAGGCTTTTTTAATGTAGGACATAAACAAATAAACCATTCCAACATTCATATTTATTTCCAAACACATTGTGTTTTATAATATATCGTCACTGTTTTATATATCTATGATGTTCTAATATGCTAAAGGCTCAAATCAAACACAGTTATATTCCAAATTGGATCTCATTCAGGTTTCACCAAGATCTTCAATAAAGATGCTAGCAATGTGTGTTAAATATTTTTTTGATGCAAACATTTTAAGAAAATTAGACTTTTTCAGTTAGCATTAGATCTTTATTTCTCATGTCACTTTGAAAGCTTACAAGGAGCTCACATTTAACTTGGGAATTCTCAAATGACACAAGCAAAGATTATACACAGTACTATAAACTGTCAGCTATGATAAAGGAGACCAAATGTACACATGTTGTAGTTATTTCCGTAGCATATGTTTTTCTGTAAGGTATAGATATTTTTTTGCCCATATCCGTAAAGCATTCCATATTTCCATACTTGAATCTGCAGTTATAAAAATATCAGATAATTTCTTTCAATCCCTGTGTTGACAAGTGCGCCTTGATGCAACTCCTCAACATTATTGCTGCATTAGCACAGTAGTAAATTCTGGAACTCTTAAGTAAACATATAGTAAAACATGGCTATTAGCAACTTTTTTTTCTCCTCTTTGCAGGCTTCTTTAAATACTCGACACACTTTCAAAGTGCAAAAAAACGATCTGACAAAAATAAAACAAAGGTGCAAATCATACTACAAAGGACATGGCACTTCTAGCATGGTGTGGAAGTGAGAACAGAAATAAAAAAACGAAATAAGGATGGCGCTTTTGGCTTTTCCTGTTTTACGCTTTAGTTTGGCAATGAGCGGATGTCATGTGTCTGCGATGGTCCTCGACCGTTCTTCCACTTTAAGAAAATGACAAGTCAAGGACCAATAATACTTCAGTTGATCAGCATTCAACTGCCAATCATGGTTCCCCTTGGGTCCCCTTAATACTTTTGACAGAGATCTGACTCCATTCTTGTCTTAAACAATCCAAACCGACTTAGACCTAAACATAATTACAAAGAAAAAGCTTCTGCCTCTAAACCAAAAAAGCTTAGTATCGTAGTTAGTTTGATGATTCAGCAGGTGATTGAAATGTAAGATTGGACCTCTTAGAAAGAGAACGCTGATTAATACTGAACTGAAAATCTGTGATGAAATGCCGGAACGTAGACGTGTGCATCTCAAAAAGGCAAGGCATTTTCTGTTCCTTCGGTTGGAGTAACGATTGAAATCTTTAAATATCTACTTTTTTTAAACATAATCAGTATCTACAAAATGCGCATGACCATTTTGCACACAGTGATTCATTTCCCGCATGTACAGCATGGCGACCCCCCCCTACCCCCACTCCCCCTTTCCTCCAAAAGTCCACTTAAAGCACTTTACCTGAGGTTTCATTAAGAATGCTGCAATTTGCCTTATAACAGGGAGTCTTACATACACAAACACGCTCACACGTATGCATTTAGGCACGCACACACGCAGCTTGCACACTTATAGTATCCCTGCAGGTTCATCAAGCATGCTTTCAGAGGTTCTGGGGATATGACGCCTGCATTAGGAGGGGGATTGAAGTCTTGTCTTGGATTTTTGGGGAGATTTTCGGCTCCTCGGCGAAGCAAATTCCGTGTAGACTCAGAAGTCTCCCATATACAGAGTCCCGGTTGGCTGTGTTTCTGGTGGTTACTCTGTCTTTGTCCCATCACAGCTGATTCCACGGGTTCTGCTGCCCCCCCTGAGCTTCTCCTCCCGTAAGTGTCTCTCCAGAGTTCTCCTCCGCTTTGGAGTTCAGTAATGTTTACAGGCCCCGCTCACAGAGGTCAAATGTAGTCAGCTGGTATTGAATGACCTGACCCCTGACTTTTAACCTTCTGACCCGGCTGTGGAGTTGGTGGGGGGGGGTGGGGGCCTGGGAGAGCAGGGTTAGGGCAGACAGCCAGTTACTAAGGGGAGGACGAGGATGTCCTGCTTGTTGAGAAACTGCAAGGAAAATAAAACAAGAACGGTTGATTATCTACTTTGAAAACTAAAAAAGAATCTGGATTACATGATCAGGATTCCACTGAGCCCTCGAAGGGGTTATGGGTGGGAAACAGATGGATGCAAAAATATATATACCAAGAAACATTTGCAAAAAACTCTTAGATTCCACCCAAAAACATTTGCATTTTGCAAAGGAACTCTTCGTCCTCCCATGACAGCTCTAAAGACCGACCTTCAGTAAGCGGCTCTAGCAAATCAAATTCAGCCAACGCACCACTAAATTCAGGATTAGGTAGTAAGAACATATTTCCTTCCCATCTACCCTTAGGGGCTCTGTAGGATTCTGCTTTCTGCAAAACAGGGAGCTGAATATTACCTCTGGAGCCTGTGGACCATGTGATCCACCAGAGAATCAGCGATGCCGGGGAAGGACTCCTCCGCCTGCATGATGGCCTCCCTCAGCTCGTCCAGCACCATGGGGTTCCCGTTCACCTGCTCCTGCCTCGCCTTCAGCTGGGGGAGGAGAGGTGAGGAGGCAGAGGTGGGGTTAGATTGATAAGAGCAGGGAACAATCTGTATAATTCTGATCGGAGCCACGTTCACGCACAAGAAGTGATGGCACACAATTGTTACATTTAGTCAGGAGTGTGACGGAGGCTAATTTGACAGTCTATTGGTTATCCTCCTTACCTCGGCTAATGCAGGAGAGATGACTGTGGCCAGGCTCTGTGAATAAGGCCTCTTTGGAATGTCGTTTGACTGTGAAAAGAGAGAGGCGAGAACGTGGGGGGAGGAAATTAAAGTAGTGCAACTTCACCTTAGGGGGTTTTAATCAGCTAAATAACATCACACCATGCTATCATTAGTTCTTGTGAAAGTGTTGTTGTGGTGTTAAGATAATCTGATTGGTTATGGTGCTATTTTTAGAGGCATCTCACCTGCTCTGTCGCCCCCGACTGCCCCTCCCCATTCTGCAGCTTCTTGGGGTCCTTCTCTCGGATGGTGAAGATCCAGTCGTCGCTGCCGAAGTCGTTCCCGCCCGACGCCTGGCCATCCTGCTCCCTGATTGGACAGGTATTAAAGAGGATTTAAATGGAGATGAGGGATGAAGCCATGCATGTAAAGTGCTTACAGCCCATTATAACAAACGTGGGAGGAGAGCAGCAGGGAGGATGGTTCACTTTTTAGATTTGGTGTCAGACTTACGAGTCAGAATCAGAACTGGACTCTGTGGTTCTTAACTGCTCTGCCTTCCACCTCTTGTACTTGTCCACCAGCTCCGTCAGGTAGGACGTCTTCTTGGCGTGGCGGACGATCAGCTTATGCTTCAGCAGCTCTTTGGCAGTCGGCCTCTGAGGAAAAAGAGAGAAGCAGGTGAGATGGTGCAACCTCTATGAAGACAAAAAACAGAAAAAACAGAACAGAACAGAACTCACAAAACTGGGCTCTTTGTTCAGACAGGCCTCCACAAACTCCTTGAGCGGTTTGCTGTAGTTGCCCTCCAGCGTGGGGGGGTTGTTCTTTGGGATGAGGAATAGAACCTTCATGGGGTGCAGCTCTGAGTGGGGGGGCTCACCTTTGGCTAGCTCGATGGCTGTGATGCCCAGAGACCAGATATCAGCCTGCAATGCATGGAGAGACACGTTTAAAACGTATATAAAATACATATGATATGGTCTATATTGCTTTTTAATTATTTTGACGACAGAAACAAGAAGCTTGAATTAAAAACCTCAACAATATATAAAAAAAAACATTTGGTACAGCCCATCGTCAGAAGGGTGTAAGTATTATTATTAGTACCGTTTGTCAACATGACTCATCGCTTTTGACCTTACCTTGGAGTCGTAGGCCGACTGTTTGATGACCTCGGGGGCCATCCAGAAGGGCGTGCCCACGAAGGTGTTGCGCTTGATCTGCGTGTCGGTGAGCTGCCCCGCCACTCCGAAATCCGCCAGCTTCACCTCCCCCCTGCTCGGACAGCAGCACGTTCGCGGCTGTTTGTGTGGGGGGGGGGGGGGGAAGAGGGAAGATTGGTGATGCAATTCAGAGGAAACACATCTCCTGTCAACACCATTTATTTACTAAAGAGGGAACTAATGTCAAAAGCCTTTTAGCCCGCCGCTGCAGAGTTTATCTCAACTCCCCAGTGAAAAACAAACTGTATAATGAAAGGGACGTCAATACCATTAACGTGCTACGTGATATCTGTGTGTGCTCGTTTAGTGGGCTGAAATAGCAGCACTTTACCTTTGATATCCCTGTGGATCTTCTTCTCAGAGTGAAGGTACTCCAGGCCCTTGAGGATCTCTCTGAGGATGGTGGCGATCTGCGTCTCGTCCAGAGCTCCGGGCTCCATCTTTAGAGGAGACACGCAGAGATACCATTAGGTGAGCCTCAGGGTGGATGAGTGTTAACCCTACATGCTGGCAGTTGCTGTCCTTTTTTAATTCACATTTGAAGAACTTTATATAGGTTTTCGGATATCTGCAGTCATATTTTATGCCTAAACTTTCAGCATCTGACATCCCCCCCAAAAATAAACAAATCACACAATAATTCAGGAAAGAGGAAAAGCATTTTGCACAATGTTTTATAGTAAAGGCATCGCATTTTGTGCTTCTGCTAACGTCAGAGGAAATTATTACTTTTATGAATGTAATAGGCCTTTCAATCTTCAGAGAAACCGAGCAGAAGTGCTACATCACATAGGAAACGCCAAGTATTAATGAGTAAAGAGAATCATTAAA